GGAGCCTGCTTCTCCCTCTGCCTCTCTCTCTCTCTCTGTCTGTCTCTCATGAATAAATAAATAAAATCTTAAAAAAAAGTTAAGATGAGGTCATAGTAGATTAGGGTGGGACTTAAACCAACAGACACCATACTACTTCTTACCACCTCATGGAGTCTGTTTCCTTATGGACTTTCCAGCCTCACGGCTTCTGCTTATGGTCTGTTCTGTGTCTTTCTACCATCAGATCATTCTCTTTGCATATCCTGAGTTCAAACTTGGCTGGCCAGTCACCCACAGGCCATCATGACATGCTCCCACCGGGCAGAGTTCTCTGGCCAGGCCAGCTCACTGGCCACTTCTGGTGCTGATCCTCGCTCCAGCTGGCTGCATGCAGTGGTAACGACCTGCCCTATCTGAGAAATCCTTCCATGGGCGTTGTGAGCATGGCAGGCACTCAGAAGCTCCTCAGGAGGGGGCAGTTTATCACCCCTGCATCTTGCCTTGGCCTGTCTGGGGCAAATCCTGAGTCAGCCGTTCACTCACACAGCTGTCCGGCCCAGCTCTGATGACCTGTGACTTTTTAGCCACATGTCCTCGCCACCCTCATCAAGAAGCGAGCCTTCAGTTTGGGATCAGCCCCTCAGGAGACCCAGTCAGCCAGTTATAAATCGACCCAGTCTGCACCGCCCTTCTAGCCACAAGACTATCCTGACAGGCTCTGACAACTGTGCGCTGAAATCCATTCTGTCCACTTTCCTGACCATCAGGAAGCAATCACACAAAGAATAACAAGAGTAGCCAGGGGATTCCAGTATAGGAGGTCCAGGGACTTGGCTTTCCAAGAGAACTGTAAAGGGTCTGTGGAAAATCGGAGAGAGTTTCTACCCTTTTGTTTAGGAAATGCCAGTAAATGCCACCCTGAGTATGGGGTTGGGGACATTTTGTAATTGGAACTCAAACTGCAATACAATGTAACAGGTGCTCTGATTCTGCAAGCTGCCTTCTCCTTCCGGCTCCAAACTCTTTCTGGAGAGAATTACAGTATGTAGCGGATAAGGAAGACTTCATGAGTCTTGTTTCTCAATGTGAAGCTGTTACAGTTAAATTCCACGAGGGAGTTATGGTCCTGGGTAGATAACCTCCTTGGACTAAGTTCAGTGTTGTGGCAGCTCATTAAAATCCAAGGACAAGGTGAACTTCCTTTTGGAGGAACAGGATGCTAAGTGGCCGGGGGAAGAGCTGATCCCCTTGGCGCCTCTATTCACTAGCTGCGGGCTCGGGCAAGTCAGCCAGCCTCCCCGTGCTTTGATAATGGAGATGATCACACGGAACCTGTTCATGGTCTTGCTGACAGGGAAATGGGCTACACCTGGCAGGTGAGGGAGAATTTTTCATTATCTTGCAGTCCTCGTAAAGCCCCACGGAAACCCTACTCCTGGTGAATCACAAGGGGGCCACTCCCTTCCGAAGGAAGAACTCAGCTCCTGCTTTTCCATCGGGAGCTCACACTGCGTCCTCGGACCTCTCTTTCTTTTGCAGGGACTGGCAGTTCAGAGTGGGCCATCTGAGGGTCCTACACTCCTCGCCTCTAGAAATGCCATCGGCCCAGCTAACAGGTAGGCGCCCTCTGTGCTGGCCACACAAGCAGGGTTTTTCGGCCAAGGCTACAGCTGCCTGGGCCTCCCTTCCAGTGACAACCTTCAGAACTGGGAGAAAAAGAGGGTGGGGACAGATAGGGATAAAAAGAAAAGTGCCCCAGGGACCTGTCACAGCTGCTCTTAGAGATATGAATGGCGGGCAGGTCTTTAGCTTTAAGAGATGATTCTCACATTGATAAGATCTGGAGCTCTTACAGTTCCAGGCTGCCTCCTGAGGTTGGTATTATCACACCCATTTCACAGATAAAGGAGTCGAGGCACAGAGGCTCCATCAGAGCTCTTTCCAACTAAGCCTCCAGTCCCCACTTGCTCTCCTTCATGAGCTCCTCCAAGAGGAGCTCTGCTCAAGGGTGCCTGCTCCTTGCTTGCCCAACTTTCCTGGGTTTTTTAAGTCTTTAGTCCCCCCTCCTCCTTATTCCTCTCCTCTGAGCACCCCTAGATAAATTCCCTCCTAGCGGTGACTTTGTTTAAAAACCATACCGTGCTCTGTCTTCCTAAATCCATGTCTCGCCCAATCCCTCCTTCTTCCAGCTGACTTTGTGAAGTCACCTCTGAAGAAGGCAGAGGGGGCTGTTGACATCAGGAAGCCCTAGGACTTGCCCTCAAAGCCACCATAAAGGTAGAGGGACATGTGGGTTTCTTCGTGAAGGACTGGAAAAGGGTGGTAAGTTGAGAATCAATCAAATTTCTAGCAAAAACTACAAGGGAAGAGTGGAATTTCCCTTCATACTGGGTCAGAACTCATACGCTGCTGGTGGAAGTGCATGGAGGTACAAGATACGTACTTTGGAAACCAAAGCGGAAGACGCTTATACCCATGACCCGCATCTAGGTGTATGTTCAAGGTATACATCCTAGAGAAACCCTTGCACCTGTGCTCAGGAGACATTTGCAACAGGGTTCAGAGCAGCACTACTGGTACTAACAGAAAAAAAGAACCAGGAAACCACCCAAGGGTATACTGATATATTAAAAAAAAAAAAAAAAAGTGTGATATTCACACCATGGAACACTACACAGCCCTGAAAATGAACCATCTATGATGGAGCTTAGAGGTGTCAGGTTGAGCCAAAAGGAACTGTAGCAAAAGGCTATAAGCAGTATGATGCCATTTATATAAAGTTCAAAAAAAATATATAACAACTCTGAAGAGAAGCAAGGGAACAATAAACACAAGGAGAGTTGATAGTGGGTAAGTGGGGCCAGAGAAGAAACACGGGGACATTAACGGCATTGCTGATGTTCTACTTCTTAAGCTGGTGGTGGATACAGAGACATTAAATTATTAATCTTTACACCAGGTACACTTTATGCAGTTTTTGGCATATGTGAAATACTTAGAATAAGCACAAAAACCTCACAGTCTGTTATGAGGAGAGGTCATTCCCCTAGAGCCCCTGATGGCCTCTTCTCTCCTCCGATCTCTTACTGCCCTTAGGCCCCTTATCCAACACAGAAGTTTCCTATCCGGCTAGAGACTCGCCTTCTCAAAGAGCTATGTCACTTTTTCAGCCGGCCAGCGGTTTCCAACCAGAGGTGCGTATATGGGCCACAGAATCAGTAACCCAGGTAGGTCACAGGCTGCTGCAGATTCACCTTCCTTCAATCCTGGTGTCAGCAAATGTCTTGCAGGAGCTACGTGTGTGGTCTTCTGATAACGGCACTGGATACTCATATCCCCTCCTTGCCCACCAGGAAGGTGAGTGCTTTTGATATGCCCCTGTAAAAATTGCCCCACAAGCATCCTGTCCATGATCGCTAATAACTAAACCCTTGTAACAAGGTAAATGCCCCTGCACTGAACAGCAGACAAATGTGAGCTCCATGGCCTGCTAACAAAGCCTCAGGAACTGTGGAGACAGGGAGGGCACTTGGCAGCCTGTGGATTTTGGGAAAACATTTGAGGGCATCTCTACCAATCATTAACATCTGGGCTACAATTTGAGGTCGAAGTGCTGGCTCAGGATGCTATGCTGTGACCTCCAAGAATGTTGCAACAACAGCTGAGACCAGGTTCTCCATTTGATTTCCTGCTAGGTTCACGGGGTCTGGTCAGAGAGCTCGTCTTCTTTATCGCTCTCACCATGTTCATGGAAAATAAAAGAGATTGTTTTGGAGCCCTTTCAGGGCCACGCCTTAGAATTTCTCTGAACATGAGCTCTACGGGTCTGATTTCCTTAGAGTTATAAAGCTTAGAAGCTGATTCAGCTGCTGAGTCATGGGGCTGAGATCTTGGTTTTAAGCAGTCTGAAATATCAGTGTATGGCTGGCAAAATCACAAACTGCTTGCAAAATTCACATAATTCTTTAGGAAACATTTTACAATTTCCTTGTTGCTTTAATTTAATCCAAAAGTTCTTGCTTCTTAGCCAATAGGAAACAAAATACTGTGGACTCGATTGGCCCTCACCTTCCCCCAGTGCCTAGGAAACCTAACCCAGTAGCTCAGGGGATAAAAACGTTAGGAGTGAAGCAAGAAAAGCGGTTTTTGCAGCTGACCAGGAGAAATAATAAATTCAAATAACATATTTGAATCTTTCTCTGCAAGGCAATGCAGAAAATACGGAGCTACATGACATTACTTTAGCTCTCAGATTTACAGACCAAGGAGAATGCTGGCAAATACAAACTACTGGTAATAGAAAATGAAATAAGGGGCGCCTGGGTGGCTCAGCCGTTAAGCGTCTGCCTTCAGCTCAGCTCATGATCCCGGGGTCCTGGGATGGAGCCCGCATCAGGCTCCCTGCTCGGCGGGAAGCCTGCTTCTCCCTCTCCCACTCCCCCTGCTTGCGTTCCCTCTCTCGCTGTGTCTCTCTCTTGTCAAATAAATAAAATCTTAAAAAAACAAACAAACAAAAACGAAATAATCGCCTCAGCCCTTCCTTTGAGGGGGGAATGTGCTGCAGAACTGATTTTAAATGGGTAGCAGCTCTTTCTCAATCAGCAAGGTGAAATCACCGCACCCACCCTTTCCCCTTTTTCATTTGCCAGACTACCGTGGAATGCTACCCGCTTTGAACTTTGAGAAATCCGCCGGGTCTGTGTGAAATTCCAGTCCCAAATCATGACATGTAGGGTTCACGGGAATCCGGGTGAGAAAGGAACGCAAAGTCGGCTTTCCAGATGCAACATTAACAGGAGCTAAGAGGCCGAATTAACACTGGGGATGCACGTGGAGAAGTGCCTGGCACGTAGGAAGTGCTCAAAAAGCATCAGCTCTAATTGAAGGAAAGTGAACTTCCTTTCGGCCACCTCGGCCTAATACCCATTGTCTGGCCGACGCACAAGGACAAAAAGACCGGGTCACCCTAGCGGACGGGGGCGGGGGAGGAGCGCGCAGGCGCGGACCGGCGCACGTGGCCCCCGGCCCCGCTGCACACCCCGCGGGGGAGTCGGACCGAGGCGCACGGCCGCCCACGTCTCCAGGTCGGCGGGGTCTTCCGCACCACACCGCGGGGCGGGGCGGGGCAGGCCGGGAAGGGCGGGCCGCTAAGGTCGTCGCCAAGGTCGTGGGCCGGACGTGAGGCGCCGGAGCGACGCTGCGTGCGTGCGGGACTCGGAGTACGTGACGGAGCCCCGAACCCTCATGCCGGCCGCGCCACCCCGCCCTTCCCCGGGGCCCCGGCGCCACAGACCCCGCTCGGCCTGGGGTCCCAGTCGGGGGCGGCAACGGAGGGCGTTGGGGCAGGGACTCGCCCCCACCCCCTCGGAGCTGCGGGGTAGTCGGGACCCCCCAGCCCCGCTCCGCTCCACGTCCCTGGGTCGTCGCTCCCCTCCCCCCCGCCCGGCCGCGGCAGCCGCCGCAGTCCCGCCCCTTCCCGGGAGGTGCGGGCCCGAGTGACGGCGCGCCGGGCCAATGGCGAGGTGGCTCGGCGGGGGAGAGGGTTGGGGGCGGGAAGTGGGCGGGCTCTCGGGGAGCTGGGCAGGAAGTCCGAGCAGGCGGCGCGGAGACGAGCTTCGGGTACTCGGAGCGCTCAGACCTTGCGGCTTAACGCTCGTCCTCCGTGCCTGCAGCATCCTCTTCTTCTTTCCCGGGCAGCGCTATCCGGCAGCCAGGTAGGGACCCGGGGAAGGGCTGCCGGGCCGGCGCCCAGGCCTGCGGGGCCCTGCCCTTGGGTCGGACGGGGACGTGGGATGGGCGGGTCGGCACGTGCGAGCCGTGCTTCGCCGGAGGGGCAGGAGCTGATTAGCCCGGGATTACAGATTTACGGGGCCGCAGCACTGCTGGGAGCTCGGGAGTGGGACTCGCGGGGCTTTTGTGCAGCGAGCGCGGAGGGTGCGAGGGCTTGGGGAGATACAGGCCTACCCCGGGTGCTCGCTAGAACCAGGCCTTTCCTAAAATGGAGGGAGAGGCAGGAGAGATGCCCAGAAGCCGCGATCCCCTCCCCCACTAGCAGCCCCGCTGATGGCCCTCGGCCTGCATTCGGGAGGCTGGGGACGGAACGGGCAGCGACTAATGAATGGAACTTCGGAGGGTGTTTGTTCTTGAGGAGACTGCGGCCGAGCCGTTGCATAATTGGGGAAAGCCGTCCAGGCGACCTCGCCCAGGTCAGGCAGGAGCTGCTCCGGCTCCCCGGCCTGGCCATCGGCAGTCGGCCCCCGATCTGACATTAAAAGGACGTATTTTAAGAAAACTTCTGTTCGTTGTTTTTCCTGCAATGTGGTCTTCCTTGAGCCGTCGGGGACACACGTAGGCCCTGACTGCCTGGTCCACACGTGTCACCCCTGGTCCAGGGTTCAGTCCAGGCAGATAAGCTGTGAACACAGCCCTCCTTGCTGGCCTTGCTTACCGAACCTTAATAACTTAAGGAATAGTTTTCTATCCAATTTAAAGATAAGTTGAATTTTTTTTTTCACACTCTCAAATAAAGCATTTTGTCTTAATGTGGCTAAAATAAAAAACGACATCTTAGGACAGCACGAGGATATAGTGTAATAAAGATGTTTTAAAAGTGCATCTAAAACCTATAAAGTCAGTCTGGGGTGGCCTGGGGATGGGGGGAGATTGACTGCAAAGGGCCTGAGGGGGCTTTCTGGGTGGTGGCGATCATACACAGGTTTATCGTTTGCCAAAACTCAAAAAGTTAACTAAAATCTTGAAACTAAAAAAAATACATTGAAACAAGTTGGCCTTTTTGTAAGATAGTAAATAAAAACTAGACACTTTTTTATTGGCTAATGAATAAAACTCCATTGTTGCATAGACCGCAGAGCCACAGAAGTGACTTCACTGTCTAATTTTGAAACTTATAAAAAATAAAGATGCCATTTGCTGCTTGAGAACATTCCACACAAGATCCTGAAGAGGATCCCAGCTAGATAATGGCTCTGAACACTAGCCCAATTCCGCTGGGCCACTTTCAGTCCTACAAGATCATCATCTCTTCCCTTCATCATTTCTTCCTTAGAAGGGCGGGGGGGGGGGCTGGTGAGAAAGGGCTTTCTTTGAGAACTTGGTAGATCTCTGTAGCTGCAAATCTATTTTTTTTTTTTTAAGGTACTTTCAAAGAAAGCCTCTTCCCTTGGAGTATCTTAGCATTCAAGGATAGAATCTTTTTTTTTTAGTTAAAGATTTTATTTATTTGACAGATCGTGAGAGAGGGAACACAAGCAGGGGGAGTGGGAGAGGGAGAAACAGGCTTCCCGCTGAGCAGGGAGCCCGATACGGGGCTCGATCCCAGGACCCTGGGATCATGATCTGAGCTGAAGGCAGACGCCCAACGACTGAGCCACCCAGGCGCCCCTCAAGGATAGAATATTCTAGTTTCAAATTACGACATTTCATCCAGGTTTTTTGAATGGGTAAAAGGCCTATTGAAAGAAATACTAATTAGATGTTATTTTTGGTGTGTCCTGTCTTGCTAAAGATCCAAGTACTGTGAAATGTGAAAAGCCCAGAAATTGGCAGTAACAAGGACCACAGTGTACAGACCATGTCTCCAGCTCTGAATTCAGTATTCTACGGCAAACCAGATTTTCCTCCTTGGATCACCTTGGGGTTTTTTGTCCGGGATGGGTTTGCTTGTGACCTTCACGTCCGCTTGGTCCTTACTTGGTCCCTTTCATTCCCATTGCCAACCCTCGTTGAATAACCCGCTTCAGACCGCCTCATCTTCAGCCATTCTGCATGCCAACAGCACATTAATCTTCCCAGTTGTTTTTGGTTTCTCTCTGGCACACATGACCAGGCTTTCTTTGCTTATAGGGCAAGCGCTGGACTAGTGGGGTTTGAGGCCCTGCAGAGCTGGGCCCAGCAGCCTTTCCCCAGTCTTGGCAGCCTTTTGCATCCCATATCTGTCCGGTACGAATTCTTTCTAGTCCAGGAATCCTCAGAAGTGATTCTTCGAATGAATGACCCAAGGTTGCATGATGGTTGATGGGAAATATGAACTGTTGTTTCCGTACAGAAAGTCACCATGTCTATTCTCAAGATCCACGCCAGAGAGATTTTTGACTCTCGTGGGAATCCCACCGTTGAAGTTGACCTCTACACCTCCAAAGGTATGTGCACCTTTGTTTCTGCACCTCCTCTATCACGCTCCATGTTTTTAAAACTTAAAATGACAGAGCCTTTGGCAAGGAAAGGTCTATTGTAAAAAGCTTTTCCTTCTGATGTACACGTGCTGATAGGTTGTGGTTCCTGACCCCCAAGAGATGGGGAGGGCTGCCAGGCATGGGGTCCTTGTCCTGCTACTGCTGGGTATTTCTAACAAAACCGCTTGGCTCCCAGGTCATTGAGGCCGGGGAAGTAAGGTGACACCTCGTGCCTAAAGGGCCCCATCACTAGTTTGCTTCACTGCTTGCTCTGAGCAAAAAGCAGATTTGGTGTGGTGGGGTGGAGCTTTCTCCCTTGAAAGGAAAGGGCCCGGGAGTGCAAGTGTATGCAAAGTATTCTTGTTTTTGTCTCTAGAAATCATTCTTAAAACCAAGGATGGGGAACAGTTCTTACGTGTGGGTGTGGGGCACTCTAGAGGCTCTTTTTTTTTTTAACCTGGCTCTAAGTACCCCCTAGGAGGTACTGCAACAAAAAAATAAAATGGGGACTCTTAAAAGCGTTCCCCTTGCATCCTCCAGCAACATGTCCGCTATTGTCTAAATGGACCTCTTTGGTGAGGTAGGAAAATAAGCTTCAGGCAGAATCACCCAGTGGTGCTGAGCACACAGACCTGCCAGTCAGAGCTGAGTCACTGTCTGTGGAAACTGCAGCCCTTCCCTTCCTGTCCTCCCCTCCCCCCTTGCCCAGGAAAAGAAAGTCTCTTGAGTCCAAGCATCACTGAGCAAATCCCTGCTGCGTTCTGCCCAGGGTTACTCACTGTGGTGGGTGCTCTCAGAGCGGGGTCGCTTTGCGCATGTGCTTCATGCCTAGGACCATGGGTTCTCGGAGGATGCTGGGTATTCCCTTTCGTTTTACGAGATTGGCTTGCTTAGTCAGAGGGTGGAACTTTCCTTTTAGAAATTAATGGACTGGGGCACCTGGGTGGCTCAGTCGTTAAGCGTCTGCCTTCGGCTCAGGTCATGATCCCAAGGTACTGGGATCGAGCCCCGCATCCGGCTCCCTGCTCGGCAGGAAGCCTGCTTCTCCCTCCTCTACTCCCCCTGCTTGTGTTCCCTCTCTCACTGTCTGTCAAATAAATAAAATCTTAAAAAAAAAAAAAAGGAAAAATTAATGGACTTTAGCCAACAGTGGAAAAAAGACTCAAGATACTAAAAGATTGTTGGGAAGGGGGCATTTCCTTTGAAACACTTTAAAATGATCAAAATTAATATTTTTTGAAATTTAAATGAATGGAACTCTCTTGTGTGGCTCTTGGTGCTTTTCAAAAACAGGAAATTGTGGATTTGTTAAGAGCCTCTCATTACTTTTTTCTTTTTCTTTTTTTTCCAGTTTACTTCTTAGAGCAGTTTTAGGCTCACAGCAAAATAGAGCAGAAGAGACGGAGAGCACACACACACCCCCAGTCCCCACACGCTCACAGCCTCCCCCACCAGAGTGGGACGTTCTGCACTGAGACATCATCACCCAAACTCCATAGTTCCGTTAGGGTCACTGGCTTTCATGGCTTCCTCACCACGTCCAGCTGTGCACACACAGGCATAGTAACCGATCATTTGATTAACATACCTGGTGTTTTTTTCCCCTCTTTGTTCATATGCCTTCGCCCACCTCAGATGGGGAAATTCCTTACAGTTTCAAGTAGATTCTAGAGGCTGCCTTCATTTCCTGCTCCCCTGGACCTGTCTGCCCTTGTAACCAGATCACTACAGTACCTTTATTGACTCTGGTCTAGCCAGATAGCTGGGTTCTGTGTCTGAGAGAGCGCATAGGGCAATGCTTCGTTGTGTTCTAGTGTTATTAAGTTCACACCTTTATTATCTTTATTCTTTTTTATATCTCATAATGTTTTATTGATGACATGTTTGAAATGATAATCTCTTGGGTATATTTGGTTAAATAATATATTAAATGAATTTCCCTTGGTTTCACTTTGTAACTTCAACATAGCTATCAGAAAATCTTAAATCTCTGAAGTGGCTTGCATCATATTTCTGTTGGGCGGTGCTACTGGGGGTGGTCCCCAGGCCAGCTGCAGGGCACCACCTGGGAGCTTGTTAGAGATGCACAGAGTCTTTGACCTCCCGTTTCAGAACCTGTATTGTAACAAGATCGCCTGGTGATAACGTGTGTGCGTTAACATCTGAGAAGCTCTGCTTGAAAACTTCTTTCTTGAACTAGAGAAATCCACCTGCTTTGCCTTAGGGTCTGTCCTAGAGACTGGTACCAACGTGAAAGGCGGGGGAAACGGACTATGTGAATCTCCCAGTTGGTGGAAGGAAGTGGCAGTGTTTCCTCAGAGATGCCATCTGCGAGGGGGGCGCGACTCTGGCAAGGGTTGAACTGTGTTTCTCAATCATGACTCTTAAAACCGCCCTCCCTCAACGTCCAGGTCTCTTCAGAGCTGCTGTGCCCAGTGGTGCCTCAACTGGTATCTACGAGGCCCTCGAGCTCCGGGACAATGACAAGACCCGCTACATGGGGAAAGGTAAGAGTCGGAGCCCCAGCCCGTCCCTCCGGAGTGTGGCTGCGGCACCCCTTCCACGCCTGCAGCCCACTCTCTGTGTGCCTTGTATTCGAGGGCAGCACCTCGGGTTCGGCCTGTGGTGGTGGTGAGCACGTACACAGGACGGCTGGGGCGGGTCGCCTCTCGATTCCAGCCTTCCTAAACCAGTAAACTCGTGGGGCACGAGTTTTAATGCTGCTGCTTACGGTTTGTCTCCAAACTGGAAAACTCCTTGGGTAGGCCAGGGAACCTCAGGCTAAGGAGACGTGTTAACTAATACTAACTGAGGAGCCCTGCCATGCTCCCAGTCTCCGAGGGTGTCGTCTCAGGAGAGGATCTGGAAGGTCTGGTCCGTGGCTCACCTGCAGATGAGTCCCAGTAGTTTGAACTTTCTGGTGATGGGTTCACAGAGGCACCAGTCTGGTCAAGCTAGCCTCTGCTGGGCTCTGTGCAAATTAACCTGTTACTGTTGTTGCATTGCTCCCCTTTCTGTAGACAGAGTCTGTGTGGCCAAATTAAAGAAAAGCGGGTGGGGCCAAGACCATGCATTCTCAACAGGGGCAGTATCGACCCGGGGGTAGAAATTGGTTCTTGGGGGAGACAAAAATATCCTACGATGTTACCATGACTTACATCCCTCCAAAGGCCACAGTATGGATGGACGGTGTATCTCCAGTGTTACATTTTCAGAGGAGGGCAATTAGGGGAAAAGTCTAAAAAGACTGCAGGGGAGGGGCAGAAATGAAGTGAGCTGGGGAAGCCCGGGGCTAGAGATCCAGCGATCATGCTGCGGAAAGGCAGTTTGTCCTATGGGCTCCCGCTGCCCACGGCGCGGGCGGGTACGGGTCTGGAGCCGGGCTGTGCCTCGCCTGGACTGTGTCGGGGGGTGACCCCCATGGTCCTCCGACTCCCCCGCCTTCCTCTCTCCTTTGTCTCACTCCCTGTCCTTCACAGCCTGTTCTCTTCTGAGTCTTTTTTCCTTCTCCGTCAATCTCTACTGGTCAGGTGTCTCCAGACCTGTTAAGTATATTAATGAGTTCCTGGCACCAGCTTTGTGCACACAGGTAATACATTGGACATTCTGTAGTCTCTATGGCTGGTGTTGCCAGTGCATGGTCTTGCCAACTAACCCCCCTTCAGACATTCTGAGACGGTTGCTCTGTGTGTGGCTTTAATCCTTGGGGGTCCTAGGTAAGAGCACTCAGACTGGGCCAGAAAGTACCCTGATTCTGGGGGGACAGAGAAATGGGGATTTAAAAGCGGGCCCGTTTAAGGTCTTTGGGTGGGCTTCTGGATATTTGGGTTAACATCATTGGTGGTTCGCTCAATGCTGCTCAAGCCTGTTTTTCCTTAATGTTGGTAATTTGATATGATTGTTCCTTCTAGGTGTCTCAAAGGCTGTTGAGCACATCAATAAAACTATTGCACCTGCCCTGATTAGCAAGGTAGGACCCGCCTCCCGGTAACTAATGTATTAATGCCCTCGGAGAGTCTCCCAGGCCAGTGGGCCTTCCTGGTTATGGAAGAGCTTATTCTGAGAGCTCAAGAAGCCGGTCGGATTCCCTGTTGTGCATGAGAATGATCTCACCTTTCCTAATCCACCCCCTGCCTGTGTGTCCCTGTCTTAACAGTGCACGGAATTGGATCACAGCGACGAGAGAGACTGTCTCATGGCCTCGATTTTCCCCTCTAACTATTTTGATCTTGGGGAAGTTAAGATCCAAATTTTAAGAGCGGTTCTTGGGCGTTGAGCACAGTGTCCATGGTGACCCGACTATTTTTCACGAACTGGGGAATTAGTTATTGTATTTCTACTGACTTTTTTTTTTTTTAAACAAAGGAACTCTGGTTAAATAAAATCTTAACTTGGAAAGTAAGCTTACAGAAAAGTTGAGCTGCTGTGGGTAAAGTGGGGAGGGGGACCAGACAGCCCAAAGCCGGCCCCAGCCTCCCATCTGTTCTCCTTGGGCGTGGTCTCCCCCCACCCCGAATTGTTCCTGTACACCAGCAGCAAACGGGCTCCTTGGTTGTGTCTCTCCGGCATGGTCCCCTTGGCCTGTCCTTCGGGGCGCTCAGGAATCGGTCCCAGACGGTCTCCCGTCGCTGCTCTGTGGGCTCACGCGCCCCGAGCCAGCCTCCTGGGCTGTGTGGAGACACACCCTGTTCTCTGCCTTGTGCCCTTACCTGGCGTGACTAACGCAGCGAGCAGGCCTTTCCTGGACATTTTTCTTCCCTTGGGGGAAACAGTTCTTTAGTCAAACTCTTCATGAGGGTTTGCCTCAAGCCATCATCCTCGAGTGGTGGCTCACTTTTGCCAAATGAGCTTTGCCATAAACGCCAAAGATGTCAAATTATTAATGTGGTATATGATGGAGTTACGGATGGTTTTCTTTTCCTTCTTCAGTGTTTATGCAAAGAACGTGATAAATTAACACATTGTTAGGATCAGTTGTGGAAGTTTTAAAGTAGTGTTGACTGTCAGTAAATTTCTTTGAGCTAATTTTTCAGACACCCATTTTTGGGGGGTTTGGGGGGTTTTATTTTGGTTGGTAGGTTCCATGCCCAACATGGAGCCCAACTCGGGGCTTAAACTTACTGCTTTGTACTCTGACCAGAAATACACTTTTTGATCAGTCAAGCATTTTGCTAAAAGATTCCGGACTCCCTGCCAAAGTGCTGTCTGTCATAAGATAACGAAGTTTGCCATCACTGAGAATAGCCGAGAGCGGTGGTCCTGTCACTTAACCCTTTGAGGAGCGCAGCTCGTTTGCACGGACAGAGTTCTGTTCTTTATTGTCCCCCCAGATCACACTATTCTGTAGTGCTGCCTTTGTTAGCATGTACCGGGCAGTTCTGTCTTAGTGTGATGTCGCTTTGGACCCCCTGGGTGGACTAACCTCTGTGACGCTGGGACCGAACCTTCCACATTTCATTGTTGGCTCCCTGGTGCTTGGAGAAATAAATGCCTGATAACGGGAGAGCAAGGAAAGCGCAGTGTTGCGTCTCCCATTTTCTCTCGATTCCTCCCCTGCCCCCCCTTTTTTTTTTGCTTACCAAACAAATGTATAACATAGAAGCGATTCAGACTTTGCACGGTTCCAAAGTTATCTGGGCTCTGTCACAGTACAAAGGTCCTGCGGGGGGTGACAGCACCCCCCCCCAGGTGACTGACCCTCTCTCCTCCCTGTAGAAACTGAACGTCGTGGAGCAGGAGAAGATTGATAGACTGATGATCGAGATGGATGGGACAGAAAATAAATGTGAGTTGCCAGGGGTGGCGTGTGCTGGTCTCCCGAACACCTTCGACCCTCTGGGGATTTTCGGGGCCCCTCGCCCGACCTGAATAAATTTTTAAATTTTAAAAATCAAGAGCAATACCAGCTGAGGCAGCACTTGTGTAGGGTTACCCAAAAGAGGCTTGTGCTTTGGAATAAATCACGTAGTTTGTGGAATTTGCCAGAGTTCCATAGACCAAAGAAAGGGCTTTCTCTTAGGGGGAGAAAGCAGGTGAGTCCCCATGGAGTGCTGTTGCGTTTCTGGGTCGGACGCGGGGAGTAGATGTGGTCAGGAGAGGAAAGGTTCCGAATACAGTCCAGGGTGCACTCCGTTGTGGGGGTGCGGGCCGGAAGGCCATGAGTGAGAAATGCCTCAACTTTTCTGTTCCAGCTAAATTTGGTGCAAACGCCATCCTGGGTGTGTCCCTGGCTGTCTGCAAGGCGGGGGCCGTGGAAAAGGGGGTGCCCCTGTACCGGCACATTGCTGACTTGGCTGGCAATGCTGAAGTCATCCTGCCGGTTCCGGTGAGTGGCTTGGAACCTCCCAAGTGAGGAGCTGGGGGTATTTGCTTACTTGTGGGGACCCTGAGACGTCCCACATCTTGGTCTCATCCACATGTGACTGTCCCAGCACAGTGGGGACAGGCAGGCCCTGGAGGTCTTGGCTGTGGACCCCTGCTACTTGCTAGAAGTGCCCCTGAGCCGGGGACCAACCCCCTGGTGCTCCACATCTCTTAACTGTTGACAAGGGGATGAACAATCATGCTGGCCTTGCTGGGTTGTGTGCGCGCTGAGGCAGTAGCCAGTCCTCAGGACAGCAAGCTCACCTGGTGGCGATCGCTGCCCTTCCTCAAGAGAGACCCGGTGAGCATTCTAGAGTCACACGTGGCCCCATCTGGGAGCCATGCGGTCGGACGTGAGGGGGCCGCTGGGTGGGACTCTCCGGGCCAGATGGGCGAATTTCCCTGTCTCTCCCTAGGCTTTCAACGTCATCAACGGTGGTTCTCATGCTGGCAACAAGCTGGCCATGCAGGAGTTCATGATCCTGCCCGTTGGTGCGGCCAACTTCAGGGAAGCCATGCGCATCGGAGCCGAGGTTTACCACAACCTGAAGAATGTCATCAAGGAGAAATACGGAAAAGATGCCACCAATGTGGGGGATGAAGGCGGCTTTGCGCCTAACATCCTGGAGAACAAAGAAGGTAAAGGCTCTGGTCGGGGGTGGGGAGCGGGCACGTTCTGCAGCTCGGCCCTGGCGCTCTCTGCCCATGTGCCACACCTGTTCCTCTCCAAGTACCTGCAAATGGAGGTCGGGGGTGGGATGTGCGAGCTAGCGCTTAATTTTCAAAAATAACAAGGAATTTCCTTACTTATTTGATTTCTGAGTGTCCTGGTTGTTTGAATTAAGCTCTTGTCATTCTTTCTTTCTTTGATTTTATTTATTTGAGAGAGAAAAAGTGGACACGCACATGAGTTGGGGGGAAGGCAGAGGGAGAAGCAGATTCTCCGCCGAGCCGAGCAGGGAGCCCGAGCCTGGGCTCCGTCCCAGGATCCCGGGATCATGACCTGAGCCAAAGTCAGATGCTACACTGACTGAGCCCCCCAGGTGCCCCTATGTTCTTGCCATTCTTGCACCGCCCCTTGGTGGCAGAGGTTTGAAGTCTGTGTTCAGTAGATGCTATCTGTCCGGCCTGCGACCGTCACCCCCTCAGCTCATTCCACCACAGGAACGTTTACGTGGCGCCATTTTGCCTGGAGCCCTTAGGCACAGGCTTGAATGTACGAGTTGAGTCGGACGCAGAGAGTCTTCGGACAAGAACTCCTGGCTGAGCCTTTTGTTGTAGAAGGAAAGGAGGGTTCAACCACATTTTGTTGCCTTCAGGGCAACTACTGAAAGAAAAAAGCATCCATCCTGCTCTTTGGGTCAGTCGTAGGAAGTGCTGGTGCTCAGCCATTTTGACCTACACAAAATGACTCTCTCACGTGGTTTGATGTGATGGCTTGGAGATCTGTGGTGTGGAACAGGCGTCAAGTGGCTCTGTCCCCTTCCGTACAGGCAGCACTGCCAAGTGAGGCCGAGCCTGGGCTGGGGACAGCAGGCCGCGGAGGCAGGGTCCCGCCCTCACCCTGCCCTCCTGGGCTCCCTCTCCAGTCCCAGCTCAGCTCTGTTGAAAGCCCGTTGCTCGGGACAGCCGATCTCAGCTGGTCACTGTAACGGTCTCGGCCAGCACAGCTGCTCCTAGGTGCTAAGTCTGGGAGCATTCGTCAGTGAGAAAGCATCTGAGTCGAGACTGAGTTTCCCACTTGCTGTCTGCTGGGGGCCCTGACCAGCGGTTTCTTGCTCCGACGCAAAAAAAGCACTGGAATCATGGAAGCGATGGCTGGGCCCAGAGCACCTCTCGGGCTTCCTGTTAGGGTTCCTGTTTGGCAGCTGTTAAGGGAACTTAGTCCCCCTGTGTGGTTTCCAACCGTGTCTCCCCCCTCCCCCCCCCCTGCAGCTCTGGAGCTGCTAAAGAACGCCATTGGGAAAGCCGGCTACACCGACAAGGTGGTCATCGGCATGGACGTAGCTGCTTCTGAGTTCTTCAGGTCGGGCAAGTATGACCTGGACTTCAAGTCCCCCGATGACCCGAGCAGGTACATCACGCCTGATGAGCTGGCCAACCTGTACAAGTCCTTCATCAAGGACTACCCAGGTGAGTGCCCGCTGTTGGCCTGGTGCGATGGGCTCTTCTGTCCCCGTCACAACCATGTCAGGGGCCGAGGAGAGCCGACCTTGAGAACTGACGGCCAGGGGTGAGGTTCTCGGGGCGCTGGCGCTCCTCCAGGGTCTGGGCATCACTTAACGCACACAGGGTAGAGACTGTTGATACTGTTCCATGGGGGGGGGGACAGTGAGGCACAGGGTGCATTAGTAATTCGCCCAAGGACACTCGGCACGTGGTGGAGCAAGAAGCAGACTGGGAAGTCTAAGCCCCCGCGTTGAAATGCAGAGTTAGAGATTGTGCCCGAGATGGGCCGAGACAAACCCCGCTCTTAGCCTCCTGAGCCCACGGACAGAGCCGTGTCTCGCTTAGCATGTGTAGGGGCCCAGGATTGCAGACGACTTTGGTGGCCTGTCACAGGAGTCGGTGGGCAGGCAGGAGTCTTTCTGGGGCCGGAGCTGGGGAGCCGGTCCTGTCCTGCGGGGGCGAGGGGTGGGGCCGGACAGGGAGGTTCGGGTTGCCGGTGGGCATGGGTACAGACATGGCTCTCCTTTCCCCAGTGGTGTCTATCGAGGACCCCTTTGACCAGGATGACTGGGAAGCTTGGCAGAAGTTCACTGCCACCGCCGGCATCCAGGTGGTGGGGGATGATCTCACTGTGACCAACCCGAAACGGATCTCCAAGGCCGTGGGCGAGAAATCGTGCAACTGCCTCCTGCTGAAAGTGAACCAGATCGGCTCCGTGACCGAGTCTCTCCAGGCGTAAGTGCGCTCGGGCGTCGGCGTCAACAGCGCGAGGGGGCTGAACCTCAGCCAGAGCTCCTGTCTGCTGGCGGGGGGGTGCTCCTGCTTGGAGCTGGAACAGAGCTTCCAACTTGAGCTCCATGTGGCTTCGAAGTAAGCAGTGGCACCAAGGGGCCTGGGGCGTTGGGCAGCTGTGGTCCAGTCCTGACCACTTCGTGCTTCTAGACCCGTGACCTGATATTTCATGGAGAACGTCAGTCATAGGCACTGTCAGGGGAGACAAGTCTCACCCCTCCAGGGGGCTGAACCCTGATTTTTAAACGTGACTTAGAGGCCGAGAAGGTCCTCAGGGCTCTGTGAGTAGAGAGAGGAAGGTGAGGATTATTGTCCTCCAGTGGCGAGAGCTTGGTGGCAGCCCCTGGCTCGACCCTTCCTCTGGTCTCCCACCGGGGGTGAGGAAGCCTGGCATCAGGAGGGCCCGAAGGGGCTGCTGTGCCCGGGAAATGAAGTCCCACTGTCACGACCATCTGGGTGGTTTCCTGGCTTGTAGGTGCAAGCTGGCCCAGTCCAATGGCTGGGGCGTCATGGTGTCGCATCGCTCTGGGGAGACCGAAGATACCTTCATCGCTGACCTGGTGGTGGGACTTTGCACCGGGCAGGTAAAGAGCTGCTTGACGCTTCTCCGCCCTCAGCTTCCCGAACACAGTGCCAGGAAGGGGCGGGGCAGATGGGGTCCTGGGTGCCCCTTTATCTCCTCCTTCCTGCCCGAAATGCTCATGAGGATTGAATGTCCACGACAGGCATATTGACCTTTCTTTTCCCCTTCCAGATCAAGACAGGGGCACCTTGCCGATCTGAGCGCTTGGCCAAGTACAACCAGATCCTCAGGTAAAGAGGAAGCCTCCCTGCTCCGGTGTGTGGGCCCCGCTCTCCAGTGGGAGCTCCTGGCTCTGGGGGCTGTGTGCAGATGCCAGCCGGGGTCCTGGCCTGAGCCGTGTGGGGTTGGGGTGAGCTGGACGTAGAACCTAAGGCACCTTGCGGCATGGCCAGGAAGCTGGAGCCTGAGCCGGGCTGGGCTGCCATCTCCTGGGGGAAGAGGGAACAAGTCTCCTTTCAGATAATTTAATCCTAGAATTTTGAGAGCTAAAAGAGAGCTTGAGTGATTACCTAATTTAGCACCCATGTTTTGTGGAGAAGGAAAGTGGGGCTCAGAGAAGAAGGGCAACAGGAGCGGTCCCACTGGAACCCAGTGCTTCTGGATATTCTGGTCCCCCCCTTTTTTTTAAAGATTTGATTTATTTGTCACAGAAAGAGGGGGAGCGGTGGCAGAGGGAGAAGCAGGCTTCCCGCTGAGCAGGGAGCAGGATGTGGGGCTCGATCTCAGGATCCTGGATTCGGGACCTGAGCCAAAGGCAGATGCCTAACCAGCTGAGCCACCCAGGCATCCCGTTCTGGTCCCTTTTTATCATAACGGGTCCTGCTCGTGGAGACATGCCTCCTTTTTTTGTTCTTTTTCCAGTCTTAACGGGGAAAGAACCGTCTCTTTCATGAGTCCGCCCCATGTTACTCTTCCTTAAACTGGGACCTAGTAGGACGTGTGTGTCGTCGTCCCGTCCCCCCCCCCCCCCGTCGGCAGCCATCGGCACTCCTGTGGGGCTTGTTTTCGGACACGTACACTTCCTCCTTTACAGGAGAATTTTAAGCATATTCCAGTCATAGGATTTCACCTATAAATACCTTCGTCTACATCTCAGAAGCATTTCCATTTACTTGTTGGCACCACCACGGTGCCGTGAGAGTGTCTGGGATTCGCGGTCGTCCGTGACAGCCACACCAGGCGTGGCCGAGCTCCCCCTCCTTTTGTCCCCATGCTACTTCTCTCAAGAAACTGGGTTGTCCTTGTGTTAAAAAACATTTTTTCTTACATTCCAAGAAATAGCAGTCCTGACCCTTCTTCTAGTTTGTCTGGGGGCGGGGGAAGGCGGGAGGGGACGGGGCAGCAGATGGCCCACTTGCTGGCGGAGCTAGGTGCACGGGGAGAGCCGGATGCTCCTCTTCTCTCAGCTCCGAGCAGCCACATTGAGGGGAGGCTGGGCCTCTGGCTCTGGGTGGGGAGACGTGGGTCTTGGGAATGGACATTTGACTTCTTTTTTCCCCTCCCCTCCCTCCCTCCTCTGCTTCCCAAGAATTGAAGAGGAACTGGGTAGCAAGGCTAAGTTCGCCGGCAGAAACTTCAGAAACCCCCTGGCCAAGTAAGCTCCAGGCGGCGCACCCCGAGTCCTGCGGTCCTGAGTCGGCTCATTAGACCTCTGCTCCCCCCGGGCAGCTCGAGGCCCCCAGCCGAAACTGGCCGGGGACCCTGCGAGTTAACTGCCCCCTCCCCTCCCTGTGATGTTCTCACTGCTTCCTTAGAACTGCCGCAGAAGCCAAACTTAACCATCTGGAACCTGCTGGAAACCCTAACTCTGTAATCGTGTCATTGGCCCAAGTCATTGTTTTCTCACCTCACTTCCACCCAGTGTCTGGAGTCACGTCTGTCTACTTTATAATCTTGAGGTGTCCACAGGCGAAATCCCCAGTGGTTTTGTGTGCAGAATAAAAAGGCCTCAGTGACCCATAGGAATGCTGTGTGCGCGTGTGTGAAGCAGTCTGAGTCTGTCCTCGTGTTGAGTGTCCGCGGAGTGTTGACATTGGGCTATGGGCCTGTAGGAGTTGGAGGCTTTGTGTCATCATCACCAAAAGGGACAGGGCGCCTGGCTGGCTCAGTCGGTAGAACACGCGACTTTGTTGTTTTTTTTGTTTTGTTTTGTTTTAAGATTTCTTAGCTGGGAGAGGGGGGAGAGAGAGTCTCGAGTCTGCTGCAGGGCTGGATCCCACAACCCGTGAGATCATGACCTGAGCTGAGATGAAGAGTCAGATGCTTAACTGAGGCACCCAGGCGCCCCTGAGCACATAATTCTTGGTATTGGGGTTGTAAGTTCAAGCTCCATGTTGGGTATAGAGATTACTTTATAAAAATAGAGTCTTTTAAAAAGGGGGGTGTGGGAGGACCAGTAGTTGAGGACATGTCGTAAGTCCTTGGGCAGAGCAGGTGAAGGGAAAGGGGAGAAGGCAGCATGTTGGATCCTTCAACAGAAGTGGGGTCCATCTTGGGAGGCATTAAGGGTCAGACATCTTACTGGGGAGACGATGCAAATGCAGAGCTATTACAGATGGTCTTGGGGTGGTGGTTTCTAGATCACGGGACCGTGTCATTGTTCAAACTGGAAGGTCTTCCAGAGTGCAGGTAACCATTCTGGGCAGGCTGGACTGTGGTTTCTCAGTTCTTGGGGGAAGCAAATGAAAGGATCGTTAAAAGGGACCTCTGGGGAGGTGGGCGGGCATCTAGAGGGTCTTGGAAACCCTCTTTAGATTCAGACGATTTAATTGCATTCATATTCACTAAGGTCCAAAAGCTACAGGTGATGGACGCCCGCTGTACTGTGTGGTGCAGATGGGAAATAGCCTTACGGAAAGCCCTGTTTCAGAGCACTGAGCGCCGTGTGCGAGGCAATGTGTTACTTAGGAGCCAGGGGCAAAGTGCTGTGGTTGCTACCCGCCCCTCGGAGGGGTCTGCTGTTAGCATGTTATTTTTCTTTCCCTCATGTAGTTTAATCAAGTCTGGTATTGTGTTTTCATACCCAGCTGAGGGACTAGGAGGCCCCCTTGTGGACATTCTTGTTCATTGCCTACCCGTCAGGATTTAACCCAAGAAGCAGAACCATTAGAAAAGACGAATCGAGAGACTGATCACAAGGAATGGCTTCTGAGATTGCAGGGCTTGGCTGGGCAAATCCAAAGTCCATAGAGCAGCCAGTCAGAAGGGAAGATGGCCAGGCACAAGGGAAGCGCTGAGTCACAGGTGCAGGGTCTTTCTTGGGGAACCTCAGGCCCTGCCTTTAGGACCTTCCAACTGCTTCAGTCAGGGAATCCTGGGTATCTGGATATCCAGATCATCCAGGATAATTTAAAGTCAAGTGACTAGTGGCTTTGATTATGTCTGCCAGATAGCTTCACAGTAATACCTAGATGAGTGTTTGAGTAACTCTCGTCAGGTTGATGGCCATAAAGCCACCACCCGTTGTCAACTACGCAACCGGACACAGCCCGCTTAAACCATACCTAATCTCCAAATAACCGTAACAAAGTCTTACTTCCACCTAATGTGGTACGACTCCTGCAGCCGAAACCACTCTTTCCAGGTGTTCATGACTGGTTTCTCTCTGAAAATTGATTCTGGAGGGAAAGGAAGCCTTCCACACCTGGCATGGAGCCCATCGCTGGGCTTGAACTCATGACCCTGAGATCAAGAGTCGTTGCTGTAACTGACTGAGCCAGCAGGCGCCTCTCTTTTTTTTTTTTTTTTTTAGCCTCGTATTACAAATGCTTTTCCACAAAACATGTATTTCTCATCTGTGGTTGTCTTCCAACCTCCCGCGACTCTGACACTAGAACAAAACTCAAGGGAAAACTCGAAGCAGTTGGGTTCTCAGACTGGGCCATAGAGTAGAAGCACCTGGGAAGCTTTGAAAGCTCCCACTGTGCCGACAAGCTGAGTCAGAAGCTCCGGGTGGGACCCAGAGCATCGGTCTCTCTTCGAGCCTGCAGGCTGACCAAGCTTGGGAAGCACCGGTGTGCGGTAACGGGGTCACAGGGTCGGGGGCGCCATCGGGCAGGGCGCAGATGTCGGGCTTCCCCTGGAAAACCCCAGTCCCGGAAATTCTTTCCTGGGTGAGTGCATCTGGGGCTTGGAGATGGCCGCTGAGTGTTCCCAGCAGCACCGTGCTGCTGGGAGGGGCCGAGACAGGCCTGCTCCTGGATGGAATTGCACAGGCCCAGGGCCTGTAGATGCGGCCGGTCAGCTCTCCCCCCAGGCGGGGGCAGGGCCAGACCCTGCTCCCCCTCGCAGCAGCCAGGACGCAGGCAGTGCTGTGGCCCAGAGCCCAGATGGAGCTAGACGGGCTCCGATTCTGGCCCTAACACCGAACAATGGTGCTCGGCATCCCCATCTGTAAAAGGGGGCTAATCATACAGTATCACTACCTTGTGGGTTGTTCCCTAGTACTGGTGATGCTCACATCGACTTAGGCCCCCCACAACTTAGCAGTCAGGCACCGACATCTTTCTCTAAGAAGAGGTATAGGGCATGGGGAATGAAGTTCTTAAGCGCATATAAAGCACCTGCAGTCATGATGAACGCGAGACGGAGAGTTTGGAGACGCCCAGAGCAACCCGGGATGGAGTATGGGCACCCACTGGGCCAATCTGCAGTGTAACGATTGTACCTTATCCGGGTACAATCTGCGTTCAGTAACAGGCACCCCCAAGACTTCCTGGAGCCCGTTCTCAAAACCCACCCCCACCTCCTGGACTCAGGCAACCAAGTTTTTGTTTGTTTGTTTTTAATTCTAAGTAGCTGTAGAAATCTAAAAAGGAGATTTCTTGTAAAAATTCCACTTCCTGGGTTCTACCGGCTCGGAAGCTCGGCTACACGGGGCCTGCGTGTGTAGAAGGCAGCAGCTGGCCACTTACTTCCGACGACAGCTGGGGTCCCACCTGCCTGCTTCCCTTACCTGCATACCTGCTCAGCTCACCTCAGCTTTCAAGTCTGCATCCCCTGGTCCACGGCCCCTGCCGCAGGCTGATAACTTCCCAATTCCCTGCCTTTTCTGTGGAAACCCTCTATCCTCAAGGGTTCTGTGAGTCCAGGTCCCCCAAGGCTTCTCTGCCACTGACAGCTGATCTCTGGTGCCTTGAGGGAGCAAGGAATCCCCAGACGCAACCTTGAACACCTCAGCTTATCCAAACCCAGAAATGGGGTGGCCAGGTGCCACCTTCATCCGCTTCCGCTCGTCAGCTCGAGCGGCAGGCCGGCCAGCCTGGCCAGGGGCATCCGGCTGCCTCCTGCCGATCGAGCTGCACAGTGTGAGGACTGCTGTCCACTGGGACCAGGGATGATAGCAGACTCATTTGCATATGTGACCTAAGATAGTAATTAAACCCAGGCGCCCCAGGGGTGAGAAGTAAGCACATTAATTCAGGAGCAGTTAAAAGCCTCCAGCTGCTGAGACCGACTAACTAACTGATGACAGTCGGCTTTTTGAGGGGGGCATCCTCAGGTCTGGCGGGGGCTAGATTCCCCAGACTCTCAGCCCTTCTCTAGGACCCCCGGTGCTATTCCGGAGAAGTGGCTGTGCAAGACCAGGCCCTGTCATTTGTGTGTAGGTGTGTGTGTACAATTCAGTGGTGGTAAGTACAGCCAAAACAGGGGGGCGCCTGGGTGGCTCAGTTGGTTAAGCGTCTGCCTTCGGCTCAGGTCATGATCCTGGGTCCTGGGATCGAGCCTCGCATTGGGCTCCCGGCTCAGCAGGGAGCCGGCTTCTCCCTCTGCCTCTGCCCCTCCCCCTGCTCATGCTCACTTGCTCGCTCGCTCTCTTAAATAAATGAAATCTTAAAGAAAAAAAGTATAGCCAAAACACTGTATATCACTATTATCTATTTGCAGAACTTTTTCAGAGTCCCAAACAGAAACGCTTCACCTAGTCAGGCAATGACTCCCCATTTCCTCCATTTATTCTACTTCCTGTCTCTCTGAAGTTGCCTATTTTAGATATTTCATCAAAGGAAACTCGTATAATTTTTATCTTTTCTGGTCTGGCTTATTTCGTTTAGCATAACGTCTTCAAGGTTTATACATGTTATAGCATGTGCCAACACTTTATTCCTTTTTACAGCCAGATAATATTCCATTTTGTGGGGCACCTGGCTGGATCATTTGGCGGAGCACACAACTCTTGATCTCGGGATCATGAGTTCGAGCCCCATGTCGGGTGTAGAGCTTACTTGAATAAATAAAAACTTAAAAAATAAAATAAAATAAAATGATTATGTATTAAAAAAATATTCCATTTTATGGACATACCACATTTGCTTTTTCACCTGTTGAAGGACACTCAGGGTGCTTCTACATTTTGACCATGGTGAACAGTGCTTCTGTGAACTTACATGTGCAAATATCTGTTTGAGTCCCTGCTTTTACTTCTTTGGGTACGTACTGAGCAGTGGATGCCGGGTCATAAGGGAGTTCTCTGTGTAACTTCTGGGGCACCTGCCAAACTATGTTCCACCGAAGCTGCACCATTTTACACCCTGCAGTGATGGGCAAGGTTCCCACTCTGTGTTCTCATCAACATTTGTTCTTTCCCATTTTTTTATTAGGGACATCTTGGTAGGTGGGATCTCATTGTGCTCTCAATTTGCATTTCCTTCATGACTAATGCCGAGCATCTTCTCATGTGCTTATTGGCCATTTGTTTCTCTTCTTTGGTGAAATGTCTTTTCGAGTCATTTGGCCATTTCTTTCTTTCTTTCTTTCTTTCTTTCTTTCTTTCTTTCTTTTTCTTTCTTTCTTTCTTCCTTCTTTTTTGTAAAGATTTTATTTATTTATTTATTTGAAAGAGAGAGAGAGCACAAGCATGGAGGGCGGCAGGCAGAGGGAGAGGGAGAGGGAGAAGCAAGCTCCCTGACGAGGGACCTGCCCAGGACCTCGGGATCATGACCTGAGCCGAAGGCAGACGCTT